GTTAGATAAGCCTACCTCATCTCGCCTTTCCTCTTTAGCTTTGTTATTGATGTGCTGCTTGAGGTTTCTTCGCCTGCCTCCGAGACCTCGGGGTGTTTGAAGTGCTCTCAAAAAACTTGGTTACAGACATTGAGTATGCGGACGGTATTGCTCTTATTGGTTTGGATCCTTCAAAAATTCAAACCATTTTAAGTAACTCCAAAAAATCTAACACACCGCTTAACATGCCCTTGCCAGCTGAAAAGTGCAAACCGCTGATACGGGACTGGGTGCGATCAAACTTAAATCTCATACTTGCAGATTTCCAATAAGGTGGTAGGTAGGTTTGTTCACTTGGACAGTTGTGCAGGTTATTGTAGGCTGGCTGAATGCGAAACCACTTCTAAAATGAAGCAGCTTCTGCCAATTTTGGTCACCTGTGACTTTGTTGTGAGATCATTTCCTGTTAAGGGAAGAGTTTTCATCGCGACATTGCGACCCATACTGCTTTATGGATGAAAACGCGACTGCTATGCACAAAACATACGAAATCAGTACCAATGTCTCCCAATTATTGGTTGGGTCTGGTGATAATGTGAGGTTAGCAGTGCTCAGGTACGCCAAATGGTTCTAGAGAAGGGGAACCCTCTCCTGACGGGTGAATTACTTATGCTTCTTAGGTTAACCTGTATAAGACGTGCGCTCTGCACATCAGAGGACTGCCTGTTCCATAGAGCTGTTTTTCTCAGGTCTGTGTCGCCTAGAAGCGACTGAAAGGTAGACAGTTTATGACCTGAGTAGGATGTATGGAAACACTACCCAGTAAACTGATTTGGGTCGACAGCTACCGCCTACCTGAATAAGAACCCAAGGACTCGACTTACCAATGGACAATAAAGCTGGCACCAATAGTCCGATCGCGCATTTGGTGGCGATCATATATTTAAGCTACCGACTGTGATGTCTAGCCACCCAATTAAAGAACCAAAATAACACACTATCGCTTCGAATGCTTGGCCGTAGTTCCCACGCTGTCTCACTCTCAAGTGAGCACAACTGTAGCAACTGGTTCTATCGTACATGAGGCACTTGTAAACTGCTCTTTTTCATGCTCAGTATCACCTTTTCCCCCATCATTATCAGTCACATCGCTGTATAAAAGTCTGTTTTACTGAAGTACAACCGCTCCCGCCCGCTTTTGGCTCCAACGTGACTTTGAGGCTTTTGCTGAGTGACTGTTGTTGTGACCGCTGGTTGGCTATAATTGACTGCTACTAACACTAAACGTGAACAAACATTTTAGCTACAAACACTGGACTAATACATTCACACTTGTGGATTGATATTTCGATCACCGGAGATCTGGAATACCAGGAAGATAGAACTATTCTTGGTGTGGTGGTTTAACGGAATACGGAACTACGGAATCTCCTATTTTGAACTGCGAGTCAAGATTTACTTGGATTTTTCTCCTTGTGACTTTGTATCTGGCTTACATTAGTAATTTGTTCTGTGAACTAGAGACTCCATAGGGCTGTTAGCCACTACATACATGGTGAATAAATGATAAATCGAAAATACTTAAAACCATTCGTCTGTGCGACGGCGCTTCCCTGATGGGACCCTGTACGACAACAAGAAATTGGCGCCAATCGAATCACTCACTGGGGTATCCTACTGCCGGGCGTTTCGTTAGTCACCGCAGCGACCAGTCTCCAGCTTTGCAAAGCGACGTACCTGCTCTATCGTTTTGGCTTTGCGCTTGCTCGTCAACCCACACCTATGGTAACCACAAGGTTTCCTACCATTGTTAGCCCATTGCGTCGCTCTCAGAGTGTGCTCCATACGCACTAAGCAGAATCTCAGTTGTACCATGTTTTGATAGGCCTGCTTGTACTATGTTAGCAATTTATTGTTGATTTAAGCCAGTCCATGGTTTCTTGGTTAGTCAATGTAACTTCTACTTAGGCTCAGTTAGCGACCTGTAGTCATGAATTCTGGCCACCCAGTCAGGTGTACCTCTGTCGTCACTTGCTGAGACGGCAGATAAGATTCACGAATGCTTCGCCGACCGTTTGATAACCTCAACCTCACAACAGCCCATTCAGCGTAACGACAACCATGTTATGGCACGCCTCAATCCAATGCAGGCGCAAATCGATCAACTGGTGGCCACGGTAAACAAGGTAGTCACAACAGCGGCGCGGACTAATACGTCACGCAAGTCTCGACGGGTTCACGTAAACTGACCTCTCCATCTCGTAACCCCAGCCGATTTTGCCAGTATCACACAGAATTCAAGGAAAAGTCTCTACGTTGCACACCCCCATGCGCCTACGTCCCTGACCAGGGCAACCCGCTGGCCAGCCAGTAGTTGCGACACCTGCCACTGGCGAGTCACCTAGTCGCCTCTACTACGTTACGGATAGAACCATCGGAATGCAGTTCCTTGTCGACACCGGTGCAGAACTCAGCGTTATTCCTGCCGGAAACTCGAAACGCTACACTTCTAGCCCGCTAACGACACTACAGGCGGCTAACTGCACGCGAATAGCTATTTCTGGGTAGAAGTCACTGACGCTCGACCTGGGTCTTCGCTGTTCTTTGCCCTGGACTTTCACTGTCGCCGATGTACATGCCCCAATCATCGGTGCGGACTTCTTGACCAACTTCTTGTTGGCCGTCGATATTAGGCGGCAAAAGCTTCTGGATCCTTTAACGTCGCTTTCCGTTCCGTCAGTCCGGGGCCACGCTTCGTCATACCCACTCGGTATTCACGTTGCCCTTATTCTGAACATTCCGGTTTTCAACGATTTGATCAAAATTTTTCCAAGTTTGCTTAAGCCTTCATATTTGGTCTCGAGTGCGCCACATAAAGAACACAGGTCCTTCAGTTCACTCTCGTGCACGACGACTACGCCATGAGAAGCCGCGAATCGCCAAAGCCGAGTTTAACCATATGCTGCAACTCGGAATCATTCGGCCTTCAAATTCATGTTGGGCTTCTCCTCTACGTTTGGTCCCCAAGAAATTCATTGGTGATTGGCGACCGTGCGGTGATTACCGAGCACTCAGTTGTCGTACCGTACCTGACCGCTACCCAATACTGCATATCCACGATTTTGGACTGCAATTACAGGGCAAGACTGCTTTCTCCAAAATCGACCTCGTCCGAGCGTATTACCATATACCGGTTGCCCCCGACGACATCCCCAAAACGGCGATCACCACAACGTTTGGTCTATTTGAATTCACACGCGTGCCCTTTGGTCTTCGGAACGCCACTCAAACGTTCCAATGCTTCATAGATCAGGTACTGCGTGGTCTAGATCACGTTTTCGCTTACATTGACGACGTGTTGGTGGCAAACAAAACGATTGAAGAACACAAATTACACTTACAAGGCGTCTTCAAACGTTTCCAACAATATGGTATTATAATCAATCCAGATAAGTGTGTTTTCGCAGCACACCAGCCTGAATTCCTCGGCCATCGCATTAACTCCGAAAGAATCCGGCCGCTGCCAGATAAAACCACTGCCATTTCGGCCTACCCATTACCTCAGCCAACACAAAGCCTGCAGCGATTTTTGGGTATGGTCAACTGTTACGACAGATTCATTCCACGCTGCGCAGAGATCCTCGCACCGCTAACCGACCTGCTCAAAGCAAACAACAAACGGTTACAATTCAATGACCAAGCTACCACTGCTTTCGACGCCATTGAAACCGCTCTTTTGGAAATCACCACCCTGGGTCATTTGAACCCCACTCCTGATTGCCGACTCATACTAAAAACGGACGGATCACAGACCGCTGTTGGTGTGGTCCTTCAGCAGGTAGTGAACGACAGCACTCAGACCCTCTGTTTCTTCTCTCGCAAACTGCAACCCGCAAAAACGCGCTACAGAACCTTTGGTAGAAAGCTCCTAGCGATCTATTTAGCGGTCAAGCATTTTCGATACATACTCGAAGGAAGAAACTTCGCTATCTACACGGACCATAGACCTATCGTTTTTGCCTTGAAAACATCTCAAGACAAACACTCATCGCGAGAGAAACGACATCTGGATTTCATTGCTCAGTTTGCAACTGACATACGCTACATTGAAGGTTCGGAAAACGTCGTTTCAGACGCCCTCTCCCGCAATGACATAAACAACAGCAACGATTCCAATCGACCTACAAACCATTGCCTCCGATCAACAATTGGAACCCGAATTCCCTAATGTTTTCCAGCCTTCCATCTCTAAAATTCGTCAAACTACCGCTCCTCAACTCTGACAGTTTCATCGTTTGTTACGTATCCACAGGACACTCAAGACCTTTTGTTCCTGAAAAACATAGACGCTCTGTATTCGACCACTTCCACGCAATTTCCCATCCCAGCATACGAGCGACCGCCAAACTTGCGTCACAAAGATACGTTTGGTCGAATATGCAAAAAGAGATACGCACTTGGGCCAAGCAATGTCTTGACTGTCAGAAGAGCAAGATCCGCCGGCACACCATTTCTCCAACTGGTGTTTTGCAGCTTCCCGATTCACGCTTTCGAAATGCACACATTGACCTGGTTGGACCGTTGCCCCTATCCAGAGGTTTCACAAACATACTCATCTGTGTCCACCGTTTCACACGCTGGCCCATTGCCATTCCGATCAACGATACCTCTGCCGAAAACGTTGCTAGGACGTTTGTCGATAGCTGGATCGCTACATTCGGGGATACTACTGATCGGGAGGCACGCGAGTACTATGTGTTGTTTGTAGAATTTCGCTTTGCGTCGATTGAAAAATGGAATTCTTTTGCGGAATTCGTGGGGCCACTTTGTAACATTTGCTTTTATTTGACCGACGAATGATTGGGGGCAATGAATCCCCAGGAAGACTCGTTTGGGAGAAGATCTGTATCCAGTTTTTGTAACTAAGATGCAGATTAGAGTTTGGTTCCCTGTTCAATGGTCTGTAACCGGTCAGTTGGCATTTCCGAATAAATAACTCCGCAGCGAATGCCTTCTTCCTTTCATTTGGTGCCGTGACCAGGATAAGGATGAAGATCCCGCGGCCGCAACCCTTTCAGGATGGGGATTTTCGGACCTTCCTGAAGCACTTTGAGGAGGTGGCGGTACCTGCCGGGCTGGAGACCGACCAGGGTAATTTGGCGGCGCTGAAGACCCTCCTCAAGGGCCAGGCGAAGGCGGCCCTGGATGCGGCCAGAAGAGGCCCTCGGATGATGGACTGGTCCGCCGCGAAGGAAATCCTTGAAGCGGAGTTCGATACGCCGGTCGACCGCCAGGGAGCTATTAGGCGGTTCAAGAAGGCCAGGATGGCACCCGGATCTGACCCGACCGTGTTCTTCGCCGGCCTGCAGCAGTTGCTGAATTGCGCTTTGCCTACGCTGGACGGAGTGTCGCGACACCAGTTGCTGTCTGACCAGTTCGTCGAAGGTGTGCAGCCTGCGCTTGGTGCCCGGTTGCGGTTGGCACGAGCAACCGGCCAGTTGAGTGTGGAGGAGCTGGTGAGTCTGGCCCGGGAGCTGCCCCAGGAACCACTGGCCACGTTGCAGTCGCAGGAGAACAGGGATGCTGCATCAGTGGAGGAACCGCAGAACAGGGTGGACCAACTCACCGAACAGCTGGCAGCCGTGAAGACGGAATCGCGGAGGCACGCTCGTACCAGCCGGTGCTACATGTGTGGCAAGCCTGGCCACTGGAAGAACCAGTGTCCCCGTAACCGATCGCTTGTACACAGTAAAACTTTAGAGTACTCCTCTTCTCCTGGGTGGGTCGCGATTTGCGCAATGACACAAGCTACCGTGCAAGCAATTGTGGAATTAGACGGGAAAAAGGAGTTATGTTTGATTGATACCGGAGCAGGCCTTTCGCTGAGGCAAAGAGGGAACCAAGCTGAACACAGACCGTGCGCGCTAGCCGTGAGAGCTGTTGGCGGATATCGATTGAAGTTTGATGGACTGTTTACGCACCCGATACGCCTAGGCGACAAGTTTGTACAGCTACGCACCCGGCCTAGGCGACAAGTTTGTACAGCACGCGTTCGTGATCAGTCCAGACGTAGAGCAGACAATATTGGGGGCTGATTTTCTCTCTCACACAGATGCCGTGATTGACTTAAAGCAGGGAAGGCTGGTGACAAAGTATGGCGCAATCAAGCTTGAAGGTTATCCAGGCACTGTC